ATATGATATGTGATATATATATGATAAATGGTAAATGTATCTCAAAAACCATAGGTAATAGATATGGTACATGTAACAAATCTCCCGCAGTAATTATCAGCCAATCAGATTGCACGATTATTGTAAAAATGCCAGAACTTCATTATCTCGGGATCCAGTGATTGGATTTCAATGATTCTTGGCTCATTAGAACCGCCTCAGTGAGCTGATTCCAATGGTATGTGTTTCATCCAATTCGGACCGGTGGATCAAAAGTTATTAAGGAATTTGTGCTTTTTCTTAATGTTTCATAGGTTAACAACGCGCAACTACATAACCAAATATACTTTTTTCAAAGATATCTTCAGTTATTTTTTTTAACTTTGCACGAAAAATTCGAGCTTCAAAAAAAAAAAAAAAAAAAAAAAAGATATTTTTAAATTTGATATAAAGTTTTTGACATATTTAATTGTATTTAAGCATAATTATACCTGTAATGTCAGGCCGATCTTGCGAAGTTTGTTTCAATAAAAGCTCAGAAATGATCTCTAACCATTTAGGATTGCAAGTAATCGTGATAAACAAATCTGGTTTGCCAAAAGTTTGTACCAGTGCTATAGAATCTTGGTATTGTTAATATATATCACGGGGACTACCTGTAAATGATGAAGGTAAAACAGTTCGTGTTCTTACTTCTGCAGTGTTTGTTATTCCCGACAGATACGAATCTTGCAAACCTTGGTAAAGTTCTTTACGGAGTTTATCCTGATTAAATCTTAAATAATTAAGACGTTCTGTTTCTATCTTGACATAATTATCAACTACGTATTGCTGAAAAAGACGCCCACTATAGTGAAGCAATGATGAGAAGTTTCTACAAATATATAACTTGTAAGCATAATATTGCCTGGTAGTTACCTTTTTCTGTGATGCATTTTGCAATATCCCAGGATGCCAACCATAATCACCTCTTAGAAAAAATAACGGATATTGCATTGGATCGTATGAACCGCTCATCTCAGAAACATATTGCAAACTTCGTGATTTTGACTCTACAATAAGATCTCGTTTCATAGGACCTACAGGGTCATGACCCTCTATCCATATAGCTGCAACCTGTGACGCAGTTGGTTTATTGTATGTACGTTGATCCAAGCCATGGTCAGCTTTAATAAGTAGATGAAGATTATCCGTGATATTAGCAGCAATCGAACGAAAGTTAGCAACAAAAGGATTAAATAGATCTAACACCATTTTAATTATTTCTAAAGTGTTCTCACGTAGATCAGGTATAATAGCGAGTCGATTATTAATTTCATGTTCGGTATCATAAATATATAATTGTAAAAATTTTGGTATTTCATCATTAGGGTAAAGAGAACCTATAGTATGGTATATACCACCCTGTGCCCGAAACGTATATACACTATTCTCACCTAATAAAATGTTAATTAATTAGATAGTAAATCAAGTTATTCATTAAAGATAAACCATTTTTTACCATTAGCTAGTTTTTTATCTAATTTAACTCCCATGGATATGAAGGCAAAAACACTATTATAAGCACAAATATTATTGCGAAATTCATCCCCTACATCATCACACCTAGTATACAAATTCTTCAAAGACGCAACAGGTTCAGTCGAAGCTAATCTACAACAGGAATTGTTAATAACTCACCAAATTATATTAATCAATAAGTAATTTATTATTAACTTACTTAATTTTTCCTTTTATACAACATATACCTTCTGTTTCACCAGAGAATAATTTAGCATTACAGTAAGAACAAATGTGCGGAGCTTCAAGAGCATGATGAACAACTGTAGCCATTTCACAGAAATGTAAAGCAATTTTATATGTTTTTGGTGGTTTGTTTGCTAAAGTTTGTGTTCTCCGAGATCTTTGTTTTCGAGCAGCATCAGCTAATCTACTATCTTTAATAGTTTGTGAGCGTAAATTGCGAAGCAGTGGCATTTCGAATTATGGATAATAAAGGTAAATATAAAGGTAAATATAAAGGTAATATAAAGGTAAATAAAGGTAAAATTTTTATGGGTTTTACAATTTGCAAAGTTACAAAGCTTGATAAATATACGATATAATTCTTCGCAACTTTTACATATTAGCGCCTTTTATATCATTTACATATTTAATGGCATACTGATAATTATTCATGATAACCGATTTTAAACTTTATTAATTTTAATATTCGTATTATTAACTGCAAGGACTATATAAATATCTATTTTTAAGATCATAAACAGAAGACAATAATTATGAAATTCATAATGCAAAAGCCTGTGAATACTGTAATAAAGACGTAACTTAAAATATTCAATGAATGCAAGATTAAATATTTAATGACTTAATTTTATATATTTAGGTCAATTAATACTTTTTCCTTTATTTTATTTTGTTTATATTCTATACATACATCTATACGAAGACGTTATATCATTAATTAAGGAAGTCGTAATAATTATAAAAATACGGAAAAATAGTAATCATGCAGAATGTCAAAATTAATAATCATGCAGATAAACAATTACGCAATGATTACAAATTTGAGACACGAATGTAGTAATGTGTTATCAAGTACATACGTACTATCTATTCAACCATAAAAAAACCACATCACTGATGATGTACATATGTAAGAATTTTCCCTACATTTTTAGATGCGCCAATTTAAATTACATAAAGAAAACGTAAGGAAACAGCATTAAATCACATTACATATCTATATGTAAGAATTTTCCTTACATTTAAACTATATTTTTAGATGTGCCAACTTAAATTACATAAAGAAAACGTAAGGAAACAATATTCTCTCATACTCGAATCACGCTTCCGATTTACAACCAATCAGAAATATTTAAACGGACAAACTCTGAATTAGATGATATAGATTTATACATATTTAATAGTTTAACTATATCAAACAAACTAATAAATCACATATTATTACCTTATTTATAAATATTAATACTCTTTTTAATCAATCGTATTACTTAAACAAAATATAATATTAAATATAATTCAAACTAGAGGTACAAGTTATGGCTAGTATTATATAGTAATGTGATAGAATCATCTCAATAATTGTCTTAACTGAGTTTAAATTTTCATAACTGCTGTAACTATAGTAAAAGTTATAGTATTATAGCTATAACTTATTATTAGTATAGTATTTACTATAGTTATAACAAGTTACAAAAATTTAAACTTAGTTACAGCAATCATTGAGATGATTCTATCATATCACTAGTATTATATAATCTAAAAAACTACAAACACAATATTTTAGATACTTATATACACAATATTGATCTGAATTAGCATTAGAGTTAAAGTTAAGAAGCTTATATATATAATAATTAACCAAAATTATTATGTGAGTATTGTGCTTATAGCAATAGCTAAAAACAATTATATTGTCATATGATAAAGTCATATGTTATCATATGATAAAGTCATATGATTAGTCATATAAGTCATACAAGTCATATGATATTATTTGCCAACACTGATCTGTAGAGTGTCTATGTATCATATAAAGAACTAGTTCTACTTCAGTTCATTTTATTACTTAGATAAGTTTGTCTAGGTTTTTTTTATTCTTTTTGTATAGTAACTTATTTTCAAGTTTATAGTATCTAGATTATTTAAGAAGTGTTTGTTTTTTAAAGTTAGTTAAATTAGAGAGAAGTTTGTTTGTTTCTAAATATTCTACTAAATTTTGGTATTGGTCTAAATTTATATTTTAAGAATAGATATGAGATGTATCTGATTCAGTAATCTTGAAAAGCTGTTAACATTAGAGTGTTTTTATCTGAGTTTATGTATTATAGTAAAGTTATAAGGTTGTAGTTTCATTATTTATTATTCTAATCTTCCTTTAGATAAGGAAAATTTTAACTATTAAAAGGCTGAATAGTCAGTGATTAGGATAAAATAGCAAGTTCCTAAGTATTTATAAAAATAGTCTATGACCTATACTATAGCAGCATATTCAAGTTCAGTAGTACTATAGTTAACTTTTTCTTTCTTTAAACTTTTGCTTATATAGGCAACTAGATATTTTTTTCCATCATCAGAAATTTGACTAAAAGTAGCTTTATATCCATTATAAGAAGTATCAGTATCAAGAATAAATTCTTGTTTATAATTAGAATAGATTAATATAGAAGTAGTTACTAATCTATACTTCAATTCTTTAAATGCTTTTTGACAATTGTCATCCTATTTATAAGGAGTATCCTTATGCAAAAGTTAGTTCAAGAATTAAGCTATTGTTGAAAAGCTTTTAATAAATCTTCTATAATATTCTATGAGTTCTAAAAATAATTGAATCTGTATGTTTGTAAGAAGTTAAATATTTTGTACAGCAATAATATTTTCTAGATCTGAAGAGATTTCTTTAGCTTCAATAATATATCCTAAAAAAGGTAACTTTATTATTCAAAAATTATATTTCTCTATGTTAAGCTTTAATTCAGCTTTTCTGATTTTTGTAAAAACTTTTTGTAGATATTTAATATGATCACTAAAACTTCGAGAGAAGACCTTAGTATTATCTAAATAAACAACTATATATTTATAAGCTATGTCTTTATAAATCTAGTTCATGAGATATTAGAAGGTTACAAGTGCATTGCAAAGTCCAAATAGTATTATCATCAGAAAATTTTTAAAAAAGATTATAATTGATTATAAGCTTCAGGCTAATTATAATCAATTATAATTGATATTAATCAATTATAATCAATTATAATTGATTTAAAAAAAGTGATTATAATCGATTATAATTAATATTAATTAATTGTAATCGATTATAATTGTTTTTTTTAAAATCGATTATAATTGATTATAATTGATTAATATTAATTATAATTAATTATAATTAGCCTAAAGCTTATAATCAATTATAATCTTTTTTAAAAATTTTCTGATGATATTAAATTCATAAGTACTATATCTTGTTATGAAGGCTGTTTTCTCTTTGTTTGCTAGATTCATTATTACTTGCTAGTATTTACTCATAAGATCAAGAGTTAAAAAATAAGTAGCTTCAGTAAGTAAGTCTAACATTTCATCTATCTGTAAAAAAAGATAAGAATCCTTTTTAGTAATTGTATTGAGTTTTCTATAGTCAATATAAAATCTTTTCTTTCTATTTTTCTTAGCAACAATTACAACAGAGGAGGCTTAAGGACTTGTTGAATTGGTTATAAGATTATTATCTAGTATTTATTGAACTTCTTTATTAATAAATATTTGTTTAGTAAAAGATACCATATAGGATCAAAAACTTATAAGAGATATATCTTCAGTATAAATCTTATGAGTTACTAAGTTAGTTTTTCCTAACTAAGTAATATCTTTTGCAAAGAAGTTTGCAAATTCTTTTAATAGTTGTCTAAATATTATTTCCTGTTTCTGAGTTAAAGTTTTAATTTTTGGTTTGATTTCTTAGTTATTATATATATTTCCTTTCATTATAAATTATTTCTAAAAGCTATTTTAGAGCTTCTTGCTCTGTTAGAAATTTTTTTGATTTATCAAATAGTTTTATATTATGCTTAGAATGATTTAAAAATTTTAAGAGTTATTAGAAGTAGTAGTCTGTTTACTATCTACTTGTTTAAATTGTTCATTATAGAAGTATTCTATTTGTCTTTGAAATCTTTTAAAACTATTAACTTTGTTTTATAAAACTTTAATAGTTTGAGTTTGATATTCGAATGTTTTGGCTTGAGCTTGTAGAAGGTCAATAACTTAAGCTTGCTATTCAATTTGTTTTTGCAACAACTTAATGAGATCATTAAGATCTGATTCTTGTTTAGCTTAGATTATTGAAAGTACTTCAGGTTAGAAAAGTAGAATTTCAGATTCAATTTTTAGTTCATAAAGAGGAAAATGTATTTTATCATAGTACTGAGAGTAGTAATCATTCTTAAGTTCAGTTCTTTAGTAAGGATATATATATTCTTTACAAAAAGTAACTTGTCTACAAAAGTTTCTATAAAGGCTTTTTATGGCAACTTGTTGAGTAAAGTCTAAATAGCTTATATCAAAGGATTTAGCAAGAATTCTTTAGAATTCCTGTTCTTCTGTTTCTGTGAGTTTATATAAGGAGTATATACTAATAAATTAATTTCTTCTTTACTATATTCTCAGTTGTATCTATTAGTAATTTAGAGTTCTAAAGCATCTACTAATTTCTAAGTACTTTAATCTAATTGAATCTTAGTAAAGTAAAAGATTCTATTCTGATTAAAGTCATAAGAGTGTTCTGCATTTCTGATTAATTCAGTATAATAGTGAACTCTAATCTATAAATTATAGTTATAGTTCTATTCAATATTTTGAGTAGCTTTATATACATAGAGATGTTCTAGACTACAAACCCAAAAATCTTCTCAAATTGTATCTAGTTTATGTATTCTAGTTCTGATATATTCATCTTTGCAGAGAATATATTTAGTGAAGAGTTCTTGTCTATTATTATTAGTGAAGTATTCTATGTTTCAGAAGTTATCATGAGGTAGTTATTAGTGTAAATTAGTTCAACAAATTCTACAGACTAATAAATTATTGAGAAGATAAATATCTTCTAGTTTCTAAGAGATTTTGTATTGACAACAATGATTAATCTTTTTGTTACTATAGTATACTATACATTAGTCTTATACTTCTACTAGAGAGCATCCACATCTATATCTTTAATTATTTATCTTAAGAGGAGCAAGAGAGTAGCGAGTACCAATATATCTAAATTTATTATATTTGTAATATTTATTGTAGGAGCAATCTATATAACAATATTTTAGTTCATCACAAGTTTTGCAGAAGTTTCTTTTAAGAAGGTGTTGTAAGCAGATGCAACAATATATCTATATTAATAATATTTATTATATTAATTATTAGAGCAATTTGCAAATAGATGTCTTGTTTGTTAACAACTGCTACAA